GACAGTAGGAAATAATAATCCACGTAATTGATGGATCACGCGGGAGAGACGAGAGGTCCGTCGCGCTCTTTTTGCGGAGCACACGTCCACGCATGCGTCCACTTTCTCCAGAATTACGTCACACCCGGGACACCCCGGTTTCTTTCGTCCGGTTACGGGACCAGACACGCCCGATTCCGATGCAGTTGCGTGCAAACTCGTCAAAATTCTTTCCGTCTCCGGCCTCCGAGTCGAGCGCTCAAGTATTTAAGTACTCGAGCACTTAGATACTCAAGCACTCAATTATCCAAGTACTCGGGTGCTCAGGTAGTCAAGTATTCGAGTACTTGCTCAGTTATTCAAGTATTCGAATACCCAAGTATCCAAGTCTCGAGTGCTTAATTGCTAAAATATTTATGTATTCAGATACTCGAGTTTCCAGTACGTATATTTAAGTGAAGCCAACGGCACACGATTCTACTTTTCCTACTGAATTGCCTGCGAGAACCAATAAGGATGCAGTAAGTATTCGGGCACTTAAATACCCAAGTTTCCAAGTACTCGAGTGCTCAGGTATTCAAATATTCGAGTACCCAGGTATTAAAGTACTCAAGTATTCAAGTACATGTACTTAAGTAAAGTCAACGGCACACGATGTTACTTTTCCTACTGAATTGCTTGCGAGATTCAATAAGGATGCAGTAAGTACTCGAGCATTTAAACATCCAAGCACTCAAGTATCCAAATACTTAAGTGCTCAAGTATTTAAGAATTTGAATACTCAGGTATTCAAGTACTCAAGTACTTAGATTCTCAAATATTTATGTATTCAGATACTCGATTATTCAAGTACATATACTTAAGTAAAATCAATGGCACACGATACTACTTTTCCTACTGGATCGCTTACGAGAGCCAATAAGGATGCAGTTTTATATCAAGTGACTCAAGGCTAAATCCTGATTGGCTGTCGTAAGCAATCCAACAGGAAAAATAGTATCGTGTGCCGTTGGCTTAAGATGTTACTCGAGTATATCGAGTAAGATGTTACTTGAGTACCTTAATTCCTTTTTACGTACCGCGTGGTTAAAGATACAATATTAATCATCTTTCGCGCTTTTAATAGGAAGTATCCATTCTGCTGTGGATATGCTAATATTTAATAGGGCTAATAAATATTTCATGTACTAATGGAACATGCGTATGCCGTAAGTGTTAATGTACCATTAGCATTGCCATATTTCTTAAGACGTAAGTGCCATTTCGAGCAAATGATTCGCAATCTTCTTTCATGTCAAGTCCTCGCACGCGAAAAAACGCTGTCACAGCAGGCTACATTCGACGGCTCGTACGGCCTGTTTCTTTCGCGCGTCAATTCGATCTATGGGTTCGATTTTTCGACCGATTTCGTGGCTAAGCTCCAGGCAACGTTCACGTCGGCTTCTTACGTCGGGACGCCCCGAAGGAAATCGCCGCACTCGCGCATTTGTATTTAGTATTAGCTGCCAAACGGAGGAATGTTGGCAATGCGCTACTTTCCCAAATCACTTATTAAATTTTTTAAGAAACAATTTTTTCTTTAATAAAAGTTTAGAAAAGAATTTGAGGAATGGTAGTTTGTCAGAAAGCACATGTCTATTTCTTGTAGTGAAAAACGCGTGGAGTATGAAAACGAGGAACCTGATAATTTAAAGAATTAACAGTCACAAGTGTATATTTGTGGAAAACGAGTACGTTAGCACGTTTCTCAAAGACGGGGGTGTAACACATAGCGTAGCCTCGGGGAAATTGGAGCGAACCATTACTTTCGCCACCATCGCCCGCGGCGCACAGTTGGTCAGTTGAGTAACGTGAAAACAAAGCGGAACAGCGTTGTTAAAAAATTAATAATATTAAATGCGAAATATTAATTAAATGGGATAATAAATATCATTAATTAGGTTAATTTCTGATTATCAAATAAATAATAATTTATACAAAATTTATTTCAGTTAAGTATATTTTTATTTGCGTATTACGTATATAAATATAAATAATTATATTTATTTCATTAAATTATTAAAAATATATTTAATTCTGAAAGCGTGGAAGCGAGCAGTCGAAACAGGTAAACTCGATAAAATAACTACTGATGATTGCATCCCCAATTATCTCTTTGAGAAAATTAGTTTTAAACTGATCGACGGACTTGTAAGTGAAAGGTTCAGCGATAGTTCTGAAACTGTCTATACAGGGTGCTCCAGACCTATCGCATTTTTCTTCTGCAAGAACTATTTTAACAAATCTGGAGAGGATTTTCTTTCACAAATATGCGTTAAGTTAATGTTACAAATAATAAAAAGTTTTCAGTTTGTTTTCAAGCCAAATTTTAAGCAAAAACGGTATTTGAGATCTGATTACGACAGATCTGACGTTGAAGTGTCAGAAGTTGTTGGAAACACAGCAATTAAAAAATCGGGGGAAAAATCCGCAAATCAAGTGAAGCGTATTAGATCACCGTATATATAACGCACATTTCTCACAATCAGTAGAAATCTTTTGTCCTCAGAAGATGATAGACTTCCTGCTCCTTTTTGTTTTTTATTTGCTCAATTTTAAAGTAGAGTTAATGTCCGCGTATCTCCGGAGAGACTATAAATTTTTTTCACTCCAAGATACAATGACAGTGTAACATACAGTTTCACCTATACATTATCTGCGATCCAATTTGGCAGAGAGAGAGGGGGGAGAGAGAGAGAGAGAGACAGAGAGAGAGGAGAGAGAGATAGCGTAATTTCAATTAGAATCCCGCTCACCCGAGTTTCTCTCCTGCAATGGCGATTGTTGTCGGTTTGTCGTTGAGTATGTCATGAATAACATTATGTACAATTCAGCGAACAATGTCGCCGACCTTCCCGAATGATTTACCTTGCGAGGGCATCCCGCGTAAGACTCGACGGCATCCTTTAATGGATGATGAAAGCAAATCCCGTTCGGGACATTCGTCCCGATGTGCCGCTAATCGACAAACGCATCGTTAGTAAGTGTGCTCGAGTTCGGCTCGACAAGTACAGTGTCGAAACGTGTACTGGCCCACCTACAACTGATTAATCGTGTCAAGGACTCATCGCGCCCATAATTCTCTTTTCACCTCGCATAATATTTTTTTAACCCCGCGAAGGTTCCTGTTCAGATAGCCAGTTTTAACGCATTAATGTCATAAAATTTGATTTATTATTAAAATATATAACACTTGTCTGTTTTGTACCTGCTTCAATTATTTTGTAAAAAAATTGTTTAATAAGAATTGTGCAAATAAGCAAATAACAATATAAAGGGGTACATTCAACAGGATACAAATATAAAATTTGTTAATTTACAGTATTTATAATAATTTTCACAGTTGTGTGTGTGTGTCTCACAAATAAATGTTATTTACTGTACGTATAATATAACTTTAAATTTATTTTTCTCTAATTCAGTATTTTATTTATAAAAATGATTAATTTCTAATTTTTATATTAAACCCAATAATTTTTTAATCTTGCTGTAAAATAAAATGAAATTTAATAATAGATTTAGTAATCCAATAAATATATAATTTAAATAATATTATTTGTATAGTCTTCTTCTTCAACTTTTGTTGAAGAGAAGAAGATTATACAAATAATATTTACTTATCAAGTGACATTTTTAATTTCTCTTCGTTTTTTATATAAAGTCGTGAACCCTCGGCTTTGTTTTTATGCGTACTATAATTGCATGTGGAAGAATGTTGCAATTTTATATAGCCAATTTCAAATTGCTCACGAATAAAAAATAAAAAAATTTCAAATACCAATATTTTTTTAATTAGACTTTCAAACTGAGTGTTTTAGGTATGAAAATGTTTGGCTGGGCGGTTCGCAACTTATTCTGGTATTATTTTATGCATAAAAGCCAATAAAAAGATTTACACGCACAAAAACTATATTCGAATGTGTCGGTAAAAAAAGACGCGTAAACTACACGGTCGGTCTCGCGCGCCCGGTTCTAGCGAGCTTATACTTGGCGCGAGACCCTAATGTGTCTCGTGATGACTTTATGATTCTGTTTGGGTACCGATTGCTGATACTCTAGTAATCATGACTTTAGCAACGACAGTAGTTCTGTGTCATGAGTAGGGACTGTTTCAATACCAATCTGTTAAATTGATAGTTCTCGATTTTAAAAAAATTTTAAATTAGAGAATATAAGTGATATAAAATAATTTTTTTTTTAATAACAAAGGTGTTGATATTATGCAAAGGGCTCGAGTCTAATTAACTATTATAAATAGCGGTTTTGTATAATGATTAAATAAAATAGAATTGTTTGTAAAGACACAATATTTGAGAAATGCATAGATTATAAATAATAAAATTTGTCAAATAAGGAATAGATTATTTTTAATTTTTAATTCCCTACATTTAAACTAGCTAGAACAAGCAGAAAGTACAATACTTTTATTCAATGGCAAAGATAAACTTTTATCTGTGGTTTAAATTTGTCTAAAACAATGGCAGATGCTTTTAATTGCTAAAAATATACTAATTGCGCGATATCTTCGTCCTTTCTCTGAATCTTTTTGTTTTTTTAGATAGTTTCCGTAATTTCTGATTTAGTAACATAAATTTCTGGTATATTTTGGGCCTTGTTGAGATTTCGGGAATTTTTGTCGCTTCTATACGCAGGTGACCCAGGTTTTAGACGCCATGATGGATTTCGAACTCTGCGGGTCTTAAACGTAATTTGATTCGAGGATTCCTACAATACCGGAGGTCCAGATCTCACTACGCTTACTGGAACATATGCCAGCTTGTCATAATTTGTACAACAATGCTCAGAAATCGTGTCATTTAGTATTCTTTTTACGACATATCAGTATTTTTTTTTAATAAAATTGCACTTCGAACGACTTTAAACACGGTTCAGAGCAAAGGCGCACGGTAGTTCGTGCGCACGCGCAAAAATTCAGAACCGAGGAGCACGAAGAACACCGCGGTCTTAGTTTCTCTGTAGTGGCCGGTTCGAGAAGAGCTGCCACGAGGGAAGACCATCGGCGCCTTCGCACACGCGTCTGCGGCATTCGAATTAACAGCTGACGCGCAAATACGACTCGCCATGTCGTACTGCGCGCGAGTTCTTCGTGCACAGGTAAAAAAAGGGGGGAAACTGCACCGAAAACCCGGGTTTCATGTGACATAAGGGCGCCTCAGTGTCGCACCCCTCCTACCCCGTTGAGCGGAGGTCAACCGATTGACCTCTAACACTCGACGGAGCTCTCGCGCGTCGCAATCGCAATTTTCCTCAAAACTGTGCCGCGGGTGGATGACATTTCTCGACAAGACGTCTGAGACGTTCTACTGCTCCAATTTTCTGGAGCAAAGAGAGGGATCGATCGTGAAAGGGGAAGGGGAAGGGCACAACGTGGACGTGTGTCAGTGTCGGAAGGAATAAGCGTCGCGAATGGGACGTACGTTGAATCAGACGAGTCGAAAAAAAAATGGACAATACTCGCGAGATGTAACGTACAGGACGTTACGTAATGCGAAACTGCACGCATATATCGGTCATTTTTCAGGGACGTTAGGTTAAATATGCTCATCATGGCGCAGGTGTTCGGCGCGAGTGCGCGGAATTTAACATTCAATTCGAGCGCCGGGCACCGCACGGGAATGAGGGACGAATAATGTAAAGAGAATTACTGAGAGAACGCGGTACATTGAGTTACATTCGCACTCGGATTTCGCCCACTTATGTGCAATTCTTATCGCCGGCGCACTGTCATTATCGCCGTAGATTTGATCTGGATCAAATCATCACTTGCGACGGCGTATCCGCGAATAAATATTGCGAGTGCGACGAGCGAGTCACGTATCTCAGACCTAATTACGTAATTGAGATCGCACGCAGAAATAAAATGGTATTGCGTAGCATATCGCAAATTGGCCGACGCATTAGCCAATGTATTAGTAATTAGCCAATGCCATTGTTTCTGGTCTACGCACACGTCTTGCGGACGATTGAAGGATCAACGGAATGACTTAATTGCTTTGCAGAGACTGTCCGCGTTGGCGGCGGATGTGCAGCAGCGATGCTTCAGCGCGAGTCCGTTGAGCTTCGCCGCTGCGAAGGTGGCGATGTCGAAGTTCGACTCCACCAGCTACCTGCCCTATGACAAGCTGGAGGAAAATCTTAAAATAGTTAAGAAGAGGTAAGACGAAAGCTCTCCTTAGTCCTTTGCGTTACTTATGCAGCCGACGAAGCGACTGGAGATAATCCCAAAGTAATTCAACTTGCATTCCCGAACGAGAGAATTATCATTTTTATTTCAAGAGGCCTCCTGTGTTTTTGCCTCGCGTGTGCTGTAACTTGTCGAGTTATAAATCGGTCAACGTTCCTCGTTCAAATGTAGTCTTGATTTTCTGATGATCCAATTCGATGCAATTCATTTAGGTCTGGTTTCACCAATGTCGCTTAACTTGAAGCTTAGCTTAATTCTTTGTCTCTTGCCAACTGTTACTTTAGAATGAGACAAACGTGAACTAAACTAAGCCTTAGTGATGATAATCCGTTAATCGCTGCTCTCGCCTAACTTGCAAAATGTCTTTTCAGATTGAACCGGCCGCTGACTCTGTCCGAGAAAGTTCTGTATTCCCATCTCGATGAGCCCGACAAGCAAGATATCGTTCGCGGCACCAGCTACCTCCGGTTGCGACCGGATCGCGTCGCCATGCAGGACGCGACTGCTCAGATGGCGATGTTGCAGTTTATCAGCTCCGGTAGAATTGTCTTTCAACCGCCATCCCGACGTCAAGTTAGGGATTCTTCCTAATTATCGCGATGCCAAATAGAGGGTTCTTTCTTCCAGGTCTACCGAAAGTCGCGGTACCCTCCACCATCCACTGCGATCACCTGATCGAGGCTCAGATCGGCGGGGTGGAAGATCTGCAACGCGCCAAAGACATCAACAAGGAAGTCTACAACTTCCTGAAGACCGCGGGCGCTAAATACGGCGTTGGCTTCTGGAACCCTGGCTCCGGCATCATCCATCAGATCATCCTTGAGAATTACGCCTTCCCCGGTCTACTGATGATCGGCACCGATTCGCACACACCGAACGGGGGCGGTCTAGGGTGTCTGTGCATCGGCGTCGGCGGCGCCGACGCTGTTGACGTCATGGCGAACATCCCGTGGGAGCTCAAATGCCCCAAGGTCATCGGCGTGAAGCTCACGGGCGAGCTCAAGGGTTGGACCAGTCCCAAGGACATCATCCTGAAAGTGGCCGGTATCCTCACCGTCAAGGGCGGCACCGGCGCCATCGTCGAGTACTTCGGACCGGGTGTCGACAGCATCAGCTGCACCGGAATGGCCACCATTTGCAACATGGGCGCCGAAATTGGCGCGACCACCTCGCTCTTCCCGTACAACTACAGGATGCAGGATTATCTGAAGGCGACCGGGCGCTCGGAGATTGCTGGAGCCGCCGATCAACATAAGAGCCTGCTGACCGCCGACTCTAACGCCAAATACGATCAGATCATCGAGTTAGAACTGTCGACTCTCGAGCCGCACGTGAACGGCCCTTTCACGCCGGACTTGGCCCACCCGATCTCCAAATTGGGTAAGTAGACTCAAACGAGAGCGTTTTACTTGTTTTATATATCTATGTCTACGAAGATATAATTTTTGCGATCGTTACAGGCGAAACCGCCAAGAAGAACAACTGGCCGAACGAGATCAAGGTCGGCCTGATCGGTTCTTGCACCAATAGTTCCTACGAGGACATGGGTCGATGCGCAAACATCGCCAAGCAGGCTCTGAAGCACGGCTTGACAGCGAAATCCGCGTTTAACGTTACGCCTGGATCCGAGCAAATTCGCGCGACAATCGAGCGCGACGGAATCGTAAGTTCTCCGTCTCTACTACTCGCGAAATTACGCGTGCTTTAAATTTCATATTACAATTAATGATTTTATTTCTTTCAATGAATATTATCACGAGGAATATTACGTATTCGTTGAAAGCTTCTCTTCCAAGTGTAGAATTTAGCGTTTCCGTTAATGTGATATTCTTTTAATGAAATGAAATATTCTCTTACAACTTCTGAAGTTGTTCTTTACAAAAGATGTGTGATTATCCAATAAATTGTACAATAAAACATATTAATTTTGTAAAACGTTGAAAATATACTTGAAAGAAAGGCGAAAAAATTATCTGTCAATGAAGTAGTTTATTTGGCAAATGTGGGGCGCAGAGAATTGTTTATATTATATAACTCAACAATGATACTTTGATTTACTCTAGGCAGAGACACTTCGCCAGTTCGGCGGTACAGTGTTAGCCAACGCCTGCGGGCCCTGCATCGGTCAATGGGATCGCCAAGACATCAAGAAGGGTGACAAAAACACGATCGTCACGTCGTACAATCGAAATTTCACGGGCCGCAATGATGCCAATCCAGCGACACATGCGTTCGTCACGAGTCCCGAGCTCGTTACTGCTCTGTCCATCGCCGGTAGACTCGACTTCAATCCGGTGAAAGACAGATTGAAGGGCAAAGACGGAAAGGAATTCCTCCTGGACAGTCCGTATGGTTAGTCGATAATATCTTTCACATGATTGCTGGCAACGAGTCGGCAATAAGATTCACGGCACGTGCATATGTTAGTAACTTTATTTATACTCTTGTATAGGTGACGAATTACCTAGTCGCGGTTTTGATCCCGGTATGGAGACTTACGATTCGCCACCATCGGACGGTGGCAAAGTTAAGGTCGACGTGGATTCGAAGAGTCAAAGATTACAGTTGCTGGAGCCCTTCGACAAGTGGGACGGTAAGGATCTGGAGGACCTAACCATCCTGATTAAAGTGAAAGGCAAGTGCACCACAGATCACATCTCTGCGGCCGGCCCGTGGCTCAAGTATCGTGGGCATCTCGATAATATTTCCAACAACATGTTCATTGGGTAAGCATGTACGCTATCTGAGATAATGGCCAGACTTGTCAAACACCATTGAAAGATTTCGAGGAAAGATTAAACAAATATACAGGGTGAATCATTACGGCTGTCCCAACCTTTTATCACGAGAGATGGATTATCGACCGAAACTGTAGCCGATCCGGGAAGAATATCTCGTTATATACATTTCAATCATGTAAAACCTCGTCTTGTATTTTGAGATATATAATTAGATATTACATGATTGAGACATACTCGTATATGACGAGATTTTCCATGTTTTCCAGAGTTGGCTACAGTTGCAGTCGATAATTCATCCCTCTTGGTAAAAGGTTGGGACAACCTTAATGATTCACCCTGTATATATATTAAAATTAAATCTTTCAAAGACACGTATTGTACACAAGTGAATGTTTCGACATTCATTAATTTCATAACGTCTCATTGATAGTCAATCGCATTTGTCATACCATTTTCTTTTAGCGCTGTGAATTTTGAAAATGGCGAGATGAACAAGATCAAGAACCTACTGACGAATGATTGGGGTGCCGTCCCTGACGTTGCTCGCGATTACAAGAAGAAGGGCGTAAGATGGGTTGCGGTTGGAGATGAGAATTACGGCGAAGGTTCCTCCAGGGAGCACGCTGCCTTGGAGCCGCGTCATCTTGGCGGCCGCGCTATCATCGTCAAGAGTTTCGCTCGCATACACGAGACGAATTTGAAGAAGCAGGGTCTCTTGCCGTTGACCTTCTCCAATGCCGCTGATTACGACAAAATTCAACCTACCGACAAGATCAGCCTCCTCGGATTGAAGGATCTGGCACCTGGCAAGGTTTGTGAAACACATTTCGCTTGTAAAACGAAAATATGTTAAACAACGGGCTCCGAAAACTTAAGGGAGCGCAGCGTACTTCTAATACCCGGTGTATAAAAATGCTCGACTTATCTTCTCTTCCGTTTGATGTGACTCTTTCAGCCGGTCAAAGCGCAAATCAAGCACAAGGACGGCAAGGTGGACAACATCAGTCTGAACCACACGATGAACGAGCAGCAGATCGGTTGGTTCAAAGCCGGTTCCGCCTTGAATCGTATGAAGGAAATATCGAGTGGCGGACGATAAACTAGCTGCCGATTGGATATCCATTCGAGGGGTCAGCAATTGTCATATAGCGCGTAACGCACTTATGGAAAGGCGGAAAAGAAAGAACCGGATGCAGCGAAGCCAATCGAGGCAATATCATCGTATCTCTCTCTCTCTGTCCTCTTGGATAAGCGAATGATATGATGCGGTGTCGAACCATTGTAGTCCGAACAACGCAAACGTCTAAAATATATCGCAACAGTACCTAAGATATACTTCTAAAGAAACAGAGAGATATACCTTCATAGGTATATTTTAGATGTGTGGTGTCGTTAGAGCTTTGTTCATCGTTGCCTTTTCCCTTCACTTTTACTCGACAATACTAACCGTTTACATGGGGTTCGTTTGCGGAGAGGACGTGCGCTCGCAAGTTTGTAAACTCTGACGGACAGAGCCTTGTTCCGTATCAATGCGTAGACACGGTCGCGCATCAGCCAATGCGCTCGTTTCGGAATCGTGAACAGCTCGGGGGCGTTGCTACATGTACATACATACACTCATCGCCATCAAGGAAACGCCATTGTCATTTCCTAGTTGTTAAATGATTTTAGAAGAATGTACTGTTTCGACGGAAGCTAAATAAACTGTTAGCTAACGAGCGGCGCATTCTTAATTGACCTTACTTGATTTCCTCGCGCCAAGCGTTTCTCTTGGAGATATTGTATTTACTTATAATATATAAGACTCTCGCGTTCAAGTGAAAAATTGATTTGAAACGTATTTTGAAAAAAGTATGAGCTCTCGGGGTGATTCTTTTGTTATAGCATAGTTATTTTTTAAAAATCCCGACCATTCTTTCACAGGCTCAATTAGTATTGCACGTTACTGTATTCCTATTTAGGTTCTGTTTGTTTTATTTGCTTCATGTTCAGTTTTGCGATCCGTCTATTTTCTTGTTCTATTTACTGTGTTTCTGGTTTACGATCTCTCTCTCTCTCTCTCTCTCTCTCTCTCTCTCTCTCTCTCTCTCCCTCTCCTCTCTCTCTGTCTCTCTCGTTTTGTTTTTATTTATTACAGCCATCATTGAAGCTGCCTTGGCGTTGTACTTTTTGCGCGTATATTTTTTTTATTCATCTTTTTACATTTATTTTTATTATGAGATAAGATAATCTTATGCATATAATGCGCAGCTATTATTTTACAAAGTTATTATTTTATTATTAATTAAAAATATCGGTTAAGCTAAAAATAAGACAGATAGGAAACGGTATTTTTACAAGGCTTCAATCAAGATTATTATGCAATAAGCAGTTAGGTCGAAGATTCATTTAATATAATGCGTCCTAATATCAAGGATAAAGATTCATTCAACGTTGAAGGAAAAGTCTGAAATTTCCAGAAAAGGGGACAGGAATTGAGATACGAATCCGTGATCGAGAAAGAGATAAAAGTAAGTCCTATCGATTTCGGAATAAAGTTAAGAAGCTACTTTCTATCCTTAAGTTGTAACAGCGCCATGGAAGATCTAAGATTATATTAAAGATATAATGCTATACGAGGCAGTGGGTCACATAGTAGGAGGGCCAAATTCACAAAATTCGAGGACAACTTACGATTGGCTATCTCTTCAATATTACTCGAAACGTAGAAGAAGTTATTGGTTCTACGGAGAAGCGCAATCTATCTTACAGAACAAAATTACTAATTTATTTGTCCGTGTCAAATATTGTCTCAGTTCTTCCTCCCCGTTTTTAATATGTATTAATGTGCAATTTATTTGGACTGTAAATATAAAAGTTATAACAGTTATATTAAAAGTACAAAAACTCTATGTATGGTTTAAAATATATAAAAGTTATTTACGCAGATATAAGTCAAAAAGGGACTTCTTTAAAAATTGTAATTATCTTTTATTTGTACACGAATGGTAGAGAAATGAACAGGTCGCATTTTTATGTAAGGTAAAGAGATCCGCGAGCATAAAAAATTTGCGCGCTACTATTATATAAGGTGATTTGTTAGATAATTTCGAGAACATTGATAGTCTAGAAATTTCACAACAGCGTCACGTGACATAACGCACGCAACGGTGCGTTACCGTAATACACATGCGTCATTACCATGGCGACAACCTGCAGTTCGACGCTGTAAACAGAGGGTCAAGGGTCTGGACTGTTTCGCAAACCGCGATTTACTTGAGTATTGTTGACCGAAGGCTCGAAATAGAGGTTAACACTTTTTTTTTTCAACGAGCATGTCAGTGGAAGGACAATTTTTCCTCTCCGTTACCGGCTCCATCGAGCATGCAGAGTTCTACGACGTCAATAACGCTTATTGCAAGTACAGCTTTCATTTCGGGCCAGACTGGAGCGTCGTTGCGGTAAGTCCACGGTGTAATAAAAGAAAGTCGAAAGAAACAACAAAATTGCGTTATAATTGCCACAAAGGCATCCGGGGTTCCAAGGCATTTTTCAGCAATATTGGATTGCGACATCGGGAGGGAGAGCACTTCATGCAATCTTCTTTCATGCTCGGAATAAAAATATAAAATACTTGAATTAATAAAATCCCGGACTTATCTTGCGTTTCAGTCGAATTTAAAATTAACTGCTCTTCTACTATTTATACCTTTTATTTCTGCCAACAATGGAATTAATTATGCCTCTATGACTTCCTTTCTGAATTTAATTATAATTAATTTTGAAGAGTTATAGATTATGCAGAATAATTTTATCCAAATTTACAGAGTAATCATATTTCATTCATTAGTAATAAATATCTCATTAATAATAAATCGTTTTACATAATTTGCAGCTATGGTATATTTAATTAATAAAATAATACGATTGACTTCCTGATAATACGTTAAAACGTTGAAGTAACGCATTGGTAATTTGTTAGCTTTCTGAAAAAAAGGGGGAAAAGAAGTTTTTGTTGCGATAAACAATGTACCGACTTAAAATATCCTCCGCGATAAAAATAGCCTTATCGAGTTTTCTACTTTATTTCGTGACAACAATTAATGATACAGGCAGCAAAATCAAGACCTTCTATTTTTCGTTTCACTCTAATGTAGAAACGAACAATTCTCATTCCCGTTGAATGACTAATGTTTCAATTTCCTCGTTTCTGATGGTGCAATATAATAAAGTTTTCTTGGAACGCTCATTGTGAAAGTAACAGTATCAAAGAATATATTACGTCGCATCTTCTTGTCTGCCATAGTAATTTTAAATAGAAATTAAAACGTTTGAAAGTTAAACTGCTTCTTAATTAATTTTCTGCATTGTTATCCTACTGCCTTTCTCCGCTCATTCCGTTATGCGAATAGAAATCTTTCCCCGTGATATTCCAGTCTCGAAGGCGAAAAATAAATTGAAATTTGCTTGATAAACTGAACTGAAAGTTGAATGCCCGTTTTCTTTTAGGGAATCGAAGAGGGACTGACGCAGATGTGCAAATGCAGCAACGATCCGAGAAATCTCGCCGTTTGGAATTTTCCCTTGGACATTACGTTCAAGAGTACAAGTCCACACGGATGTGAGTTGCACGCAGAAATTATTCTCGCACCACGCGTCGTAAGGGAGGGACGAAACGCATTGAAAAAGTGCGAAGGCATAATAAGATTTTTTTCCAGTGCTTTCTTTTCGTATTTTCAATCTACGAACAGTGTAATTGGTTGTATCAGGGCCACAGCTCATCATGTCGATTTACGGCTTGGATCTTTTCGGTCGTGACATCATCAGAGGATACGGAGTGTGTCATTTGCCTCTGAAAACTGGGCGTCACGAGAAAAGGTATTATTCGCGCATAGTGACAATACGATAAGTGAGAGAAAACATACAGGATCAGAGAGATTGCTATTCAATTATAATATTACCCGCTGTAAAGGCCTGCGTCCACGATGGTCTTTGGTCCAAGTTCTAGCATCGTGGACACAGGCCTTTAAAGAAGTGATTAGTGGCTTTTGCAAAAACACACAAGGGACGATTATTAAACCATCTAATCAAATTAGCAACCCATCCCTAGTAGCACAGTGCATTGACTAAACATTGGTCCAATGTTGGTTATATTAGAAATGCAGTGGCCGATATTGTCCAACGTAAAGCCAACATTGGCCATGGAATAAGTGTAAATATTGCACGATAATAATTATATAATATTAGATTTATATTGGAAGTGCTTTGGCCAATATTTAGCAATGTAATAAGCATATTGGTCTAATATTAATACAATATTAAAGCAGTATCGCTAAGTAGACACATTGGCTAAATAAGATAATATAAATAATATAAATAAGATAATATAATAACAACATTGTGCTACTAGGTATCTCATGACCAGAAGACCAACGGTTCGCAGACTTAAAAAGAAAGTTCCTCTTGATTTCTTGTCCGACACATGAGGATCTTAAGATTCTAAGCATTTTGTGAAATGGGTCAATGGATGTTTCTTGTCCAGGCCACTGTTCTTTGTCAAACCATTAACTGAGTGTCCTAAGTAGGGTAGATTGTTATATCGCTAGGAGTTAAAAGAAATTATAATATATTAATACTTATTGCTCGTAATACTTATTATTAGTAGAATAGCAGACAGGGTAACAAACAGAAAAGTAATATCGAAAACACGGGAACTTGTCATAAAGCCTATGTTTTATGTTCGTCGCTTTTTCTCGACGGTATTCGTTCTGCGTCTTGCGGCCGAGACGAATTACTGCTGAGAAAGGTCGCGAGTATACTACATTATTCATTGATTTATAGAACAGCTCTATTTTTCGTTGTTGACCTTTCGTGAAATTCCTTCAAGCCCGGCTATCGATCAGTAGGCGAAAATAAATTTCAAATTTTCAGTGGCCCGGAAATGTCACGTTCTTTTTTTCGGCGCTGAAAGCATTCGTAAAATGACATTATTCGAAAAAAAAGCCCGACTACATGACCAAAAAGCATTTCCTTTTGTTTCGGCGCTGCGAAAATATCCGTAATTCGGTGTGTTTTCTCGTGTTATACTTTACGATATTTTTCCCGAGTTTCGAACTTACCTCTATCGCGATTGAGATAAACACTCCCCATTACATGCATAGCACGTACCGCATAACATCGGAAGAAAATATTTTCCATTCTATGTATGTTATTCCCCGTGTGTAACGTACTGTCCGTTAGTCCGTGTCGCGTGCATTGGCAAATGCATTCGAGTTTCCTCGGGAAAAAAACAATTTTTTTCTGACGATGCGATAATAAACATACAAAGTTGAAGAGAAAGAATAAATAGTGCGATAGGAGAGCGAGGTAATAAATATATAAATATAATGAATACATAAAGAGAGAGAGAGAGAGAGAGAGAGGGGGGATTCATTATTTGCAAATAAAATGACAGATGCCCCGCAGATTCATCATTTAAAAAAGAAGCGGATTCCTGATGGCTAACTTGAATTTTTCGCCGGGATGATAATCTATATATCCGCATAAATTGTAATATTTTCTGATTTCGAAGTATGTGAAATAATGCCCGGCACCGTGAATGGAGAAATGTGGAGTTATAACAGTCGCTTCGACATATTCAATAAAGGGAAGGAGATCTGCGGGAACGTCGGATGATATGTGCGTTGCGGAATCGGTAAATCTTTATTTCTTATTCTTGCGAGTGGCGTCCAAAGGCTTTCGCCGAAGATAGATACTCGATCGTAATTCCTATGTCGGTATCGCTTGGCACACAAGGTCCCCTTTAGAAATGGCGCTGCCGCCCTTTGATCGTGCCGCTTTTAGCACGTCTCACTCACAAAATCTCAATATATCTCGAAAGGGTGCCGATCTACGTACCGGAATCGTCGTCCATGCTGCAGCATTTCGTCGAGTGGTTAACTGGCAGAAGACCGGAATTAATTGATCCCACCATACTGGCATCCGGCGGCGGCAGAGAACGTAAGGAAATGCATCGTGACGTTTCTCGTTAGTGTGCTATTGGCGTTAAATTAATTACATCCAGCAGGCTGGGACTGTAATGGAATATAATCAACACTGCCGCGTACAAAATTAAGACGGTCTCTTATCATAGGATCGAGCCATCTCGGTGCAATGAGCGGGGATCGATAGATCAAATCGATCTCTTAAAGAAATCTTTTGTTTTTGCGAAAGAGTCAATTTTGACTACCGGAACGATTATCCGCGATCTGCGCCGGACTTTTTAACGGTGTCTTGGTGATGATTGATGATCTAGCGGACGTTATCAGAAATTTTGTTAAACGTTTATCAAAAATAAACGGCGCCTAGTATAGATTTTCAAAACGACATAAATAGCTAGATGTAAAATTAAAAGAATGCGTTATTCAACACGAAACTCACGAGGATACAGTTTCATTCAATTTTATTACGCAATATTTTATCCATTATATTGGGATAATGAAACTCGCCAAGCAGGCCAACCCTTTGGGAAATTTACCTTAAATGAAACGAAAGTTTTTAAAAGTAACTTTTCACAAATTTAAGAGTTTACTTAAGAAATTTTAGGGTAATCTTGGACACTGTCGAAGTTTCCGCTAGAGGGCCGCGCGGCACAGCACTTTCTCGTAAGAAAAAACCGCGCGCGGTTTATTATAAAATTATATCACATACCTTTCACAATTCTTAAAGTTTTCCTTTAAATTCTTAAAGCAGGTCTGAAGTTTGCCTTAAATAAAAGTTCCAAGTGTCCAAATTTACGGTTCATACTTCTTATTTCTCTAGAGTAACATTTTAAGGTTTCTCGAGGTATATTTTCCCAAGGGACGTTAATAGCAGAAAACGAATACATTTTTTAAATAATCTTTTATAAACGACGTCAGTGACGTAAAGATCGATTGAACCACCCCCCGAACTTTTCGGAACGTTGCAGAACTTCCCGCGTTCCGCGGAAGTTTGCGTGACGCTAATAGCCTTAATAACAACAATACTTTCGAGACTCATTAACTTTCGAGAACTTCTACACGCGGCGGCAGGTTTTTCGCTGCTACCCACCGCCTCACCTCCGAGTTATATCTATTTCGCAATGTTGCAGTCACACGCATGAGGGTTGAGGGAGTCGTTACCGTAACGTTCAACGTCGTTTTAAAGGATTTGTTCAAGCTGGGTTACGACAACGGCGAGAAATGGAAGAAATGATAACGCGACCGTAAACTCTCTTAGCCTGAAGAGGATTACCTCGCCGAGGGGATTATCTTATCAAAGAGCAATACAAAATCCCGTTTTAAATAATATTTTGACGAATAAACGAGGTGTGATTTTTCCGCATAATCCATTGTTCCATTCCCCCCCCCCTTCCTCCTCCCCGACGTCAACGGCAGGAAATGTAGAAGTGAGGGAATTAGGAGCGTATTTTCACGCTAATGGGCATTCTGTGTAAAAAAAGGGGTTGAAGGGGGGAGGGAGGCGGTGGGTTAAATCCTTCGCGAAGGGCTTATTAAGTTTCCGCGTAATCCGCGAGATGATTCCGGATGCCCTCAGCCACGGTGACACGGTCGCACGGCGAAAAGCCATACGGCTCGGCCCAAAAGGTCCGCCTCCCCCCCCCCCGCCCTTTGAGAGGGAATTAAAAAAAATGTCGTTTCGCGCGAGACGCCGTGCCGGAAAAGCCATTCGCCGTGGGCAGCCTTCGATTTTCCGCGCGATTACAGCTGACCGAAGCGACCGTTTTGCATATCGCTGAATATTGCGCCCGAGATTTCATCGAGGGGTGGTGCGCTTATGCTCCGGCCGGCGAGGACGGGGGCGCCCGGAAAATTACACGTGACTGCGTCCACTCAACGTCATCCATAAACGTACCATTCCGAACGGAATATGCATCGAGGTATGTATAAATACGTATACGTTTACTGCGATTACGGCCGTATGTCCCTTAAAAGGATATACGTCGCGTCTCTCCCGGGAGGTTTAACGTCGGGAAATAATAAGGGGAAGACGCGGCGTTTCCACTTTCCAGCGCGCATTAATAATAAATTCCCGGATTAAACGGTGTCAGCTAGGAGCTGCACGGAGTGACGTGGCTCCGATGGATTTTTTTCTCGGCCCGCCGCGCCGGGACGATAACGCGATTTCGTATAATGATTCAATAACGCGCGCGACGAATAAAATTGGGCGGGGCGGTCGAGGTCGGCCGGTTTTAATCTGGACGTATCGCGTGTGCGCCGTGTACGATTATACCCGCGAGCCGGATGTCAGCTAGAGTGCCCGAGGATGACGTCGTCCGTCGTTTTACGAGCGGCGCGAGCTAAAGGTAAGCTAGAATGAAAGTACTGCAAACTATACGAGCCGTCGTAAACGTACAAGTCGCGAAATAAGCGGGCCGGCGGCAATGAAAGGACGCAACTCTATTACTGTTGTTTTCTCACGTCAACTAGGAAACAAGATCCGTTTCCGGAATACGTGATTAAACTGTGCGATCGCGCTGAATGTGGAGTGCCTCCCTCGCCCGTCGGCCACGAATCTCTCCGCGATTTCACGAAGGAGGGGAAAAATTAAACGTTTATTCATCCACCCTGGAGAATATAATATGCTTATAAGAAGTTTGTTTAAATGTTGAGTCAATGTTTCATTTGAGTTTTAAAACACTTATTGAATTGTTTGTGAGATATAAATTTAAACGTGGAGTTTGTTTATGACATATTCACGGTTACAAGTGTTCAAATTGCGTTTAATGATACGACGTCAAACGTTTCCATTATAGTTTTCTGAGTGTTTGTAAAATGTTATTGTCAGTAAAGAATTAAAGTGTTTCCAACGTACTTCCAAACGGTGTAACCATCAATAAAACTCTTCATAAACGATGTAACTATCGATAAAACTCTTCAGAAATAAATAGAAACATCACCTCTCACTTAAAATTTTCGCCAGGGTATGCTCGACTTGTCTAGTTTAATTTTGTATTTTATTCTTTATACGGGGTGTCTGACTCAAGAGAACCCCTACGAAAAATGGTGGTAGATTGGGTTAGACTAAGAAGAAAAGTCATGTGCCATTTTATAAAATTCGCAATAGTTATCGAATAATTTATTGAAACGTCTGAGCGAATAAGCGCGTGGAGAACGGTAGGCCGGGCACGCGAGGGGCGGGGTGAGCGACACAGGACGTAAACCATAGACGTAGTAAGAATAGACTGCGCGTTCTCTACCTCATCCGTGTGAAAACATGTACAAACTTTAGAACGAGATAGCTGGCGTGGAGCCGTAACTCATCTTGTAGAAATAGTGGGGGTAGCAGGAGAGTAGGAGAATGATAGAGGTTAAAGAATAAGCACAGTAGCCATATTGAATTTTTGCTCCACTCCAGACATTGACAGACGGAGAGAGAATAAGGTCCCAAGTATGTTGTCCCTTTCTAAAGTTTGTGCACTTCTGCAGCCAAAATGCGCAGTCTATATATTATACGTCTATGATGTAAACACCTTGCTCGCTGGTTTTTTTTCGGCGCGGAGTTAGGGCCATCGGACCACAAAATTGCACAGTTAATTGCATATGCATAGCATGAGATCGTCTAGACCAACGAGCATGTTATGTAAATTAATATGACGATTCAATGCTCGATGCTCGTTGGTTTAGACGGTTCTTATGCTATTCATATGCAGCCATGCAATTTTGTGTACGATGCTCCCTTACGTCGCGCGTCGCTTCACCTCTCGCTCACCGTTGCTAGGAGATCTGGTATACATATGCAAAGCTATCTGACACACCTTCCCCGAGCCCGGTCTACCGCTCTCCACGCGCTCATTCGCTCAGACGTTTCAATAAATTATTCGTTAACTATTGCGAATTGTGTAAAATGGTACATGACTTTTCTTCTTAGTCTGACCCAATCTACCATCATTTTTCGAGCTGGTTCCTCTTGTGTCAGACACCCTGTATAGAGGAAAGTCCCCTGTTATGAGATAGGATCCTAATACGGGATAGCGGGGTTTCTGTTAAATTAATAGGCATCGTCAGTTGATTCCACCATGAATTTGTTACCCTCGGAGCGAAATCTGTTTAGTGGAAAATTCATCGTTCGTGTAATCGTTGCAAAAAAAAGATTTGTGGTTGAATTTGGGCGTTGAAAACCTGCTATCTCATAATAGAGGACCTTGCTCTATTTTTTTTCTCATTTCTCTGCGCTGTTTTTCTTCGCCCGCGCTCCTCCTCCTTGTTTGTTCTTCGAGGGCTTGCCCTAGAATTTTAGTAAACCCTTCATCTATTTACTTACCATATTCGAGTCTTCTTATTCGTCCAGTGTATTCGCTTCTCGTGTAGATTGATTAACTACAGTGACAGCACCAAGAAGACATGTAGACTGAGAAGAGGGTAAACATATCCACACAGCGAAATCGGCTCACAGATACGTCACCCGTGTTTATTCAACAATTTGTTACATCAGTGTACGATATAAGTGCGGCTAACAACTTGTTTCTTTTACTGCAAAACAGAATTAGCGAAGTATTACTCAACCTAGAAAAATGTGCTAGCGACACGCGCGCATCACGATAACGGCACGCTGCGAAAGAGTTGTAACACCGAGTTTCGCAGTTTTAAACCCTTCACTGTTCGATCCATTAATCTTCACGTAACCACAATCTCCGTATTATATTTCAGCTGCTCCCGGAAAAGACTTGTCGAACTCGCGACAAACGAGGTAAAATAACGCGATATGAGGATGGAAAGCCCCAACACTCGTTAATACAACAAACGATGATACGCTCGGCACGTAGATGTTTAATGAGATGCGCATCTCTTTCAATTTTACCCACTCCATCAGTAGAAAAATTGAAAAAGGGAAAACAAAAAAAGGACGAGAACAGTCTTCTTGTTAGTCACAACCCCTTTACATTGTCCTTTGTGGACTCGTGGAAACTTACTGTAATTTAGAGTACGAGAGTACGATGGGTATCTTTGCGCTGCCCTGCTTTTCCTTGTGTGGACTAGATTCGTTACAAGTTCTCCGCGTTGTCTACGCTTATCATTAAAACGCCTAACAAATATTGAATATCTAAATCCCTCTGGGCACTCACATTTATTTAAATAATTTTTAGTTTTCTTTCAGCAATTTTTGTGTTTACTCTCATAATAATCGTATTTATCGTAAACCTGTAATTTTAAACGGAAATGCAGTCCGCAAATCAATTATTTAAAAATTGTTTCTATGTAAATTAACGTTGAACTCTGTCTCGAGAAGTTATGACTCCTGTAGATCGGTTCGACCGTTTAAAAATCTATAAACTCTTGTTGAGCGTTCGCGAATAAAAAACCAACAATGCCGTGAAATTCTGCGAAACAGACCGTAGTGAAAGTGTCTACGAAAGAAATTAACACCATTTTGACAATGCAAAGAAAACGTGCTCTGATCGACCTGCAATTTTAATAATTAAGAATCTAATTATCAGCTTATTTCTTTCAATCCGTTTCTTTTAATTGACTATTTTTTTCTGGAAAGATACGCGGAGAGAATGTTCTCTTAAAACTTACCCTGATCGTGTAATTGTGGGACAACATTTTGAAGAACTTTGTGAGAGCATTTTGAAATCTTACCATACATTTTACTAATAAAATACTAAGTATAATTATAAGTAAAATTATGGTGAAATTTCCGAAAACTCTCATGAAATTCTTGGAAATGCCGTGCCGTTCCACGAATACATGATTTTCAGTGAAAATCCGCTCCGTGTACCAACGCGCTTACTCCCACGGAGTCAATTAGCTACTGATCTGTTCCCGTATATTATCTATCAATACCGTTGCCGCCGTCGTATCCAGCAACATATCTCGAGCCCGGGAAGAGACTGAGGAGCTCGAAGACTATACCGTTCGTCCAACCGAAGCCTTCTTGAACGTTGTATTCGCCGCCGCCGCCGCCCTCGCCGGGATGTATCGCGTTGTACTGAAATTAAAAGATTAATTGTTCTGTGTAATCGGGCGTGTCCGATTCGCAATTCAAACGTCGCGTTGCGTCGCGCGAAAGTAATCAAGACGCACTCCGGATCGTCGCCTCCTCCGCGGTTTCCGTCCGTCGCGGCGAGTTAATTCGCGTGGCATACCTACCCTACGGAGAAATCTAATTTCTCCCGATCGCGCGAGGAAACTTGGATGAACTTTCGTCAGTTAGTTAAACGACGCTTCGCGTCTCTGAGAGATCGCGCTGCGAGGGCTCGTCTTGAGCGACGCGAAAGCGTCATTTCCTTCCGCCGGCGAGCGCGTCAAATATTCTTCCGCGAGCCCGCGGGGCGGGTATTTATTATTTATTATATTTTATGTCACTGGAAAGAATCACTTAATGCGATCGAAACGTACTCTCACGTCGGAATAGATACTAAGAAATAAAATAAGTGTGGAAACGACCTTGCTGGCACTTCTTTATTATATAATATTATAAATTCACAACGTTTCGGCCAGTAATACTGGTCCTCCTCAGGTAACAAACTTATATAAGTACCCGCAAATGTAAGATTCGTCAAAGTTAAAAATGTAAAACTGTATCAAATGTCAGAGACTTCTCTGTACATTGGCGTTAGAACACAGAATGTGTGTGAAAAACATTCCGTGTTCTAACGCCAATGACTAGACATGTTGTACAGAGAAGTCTCTGACATTTGACATAATTTTACATCTTTGACTTTGATGAATCTTACATTTGCGGGTACTTATGTAAGTTTGTTACCTGAAGAGGACCAGTAAGGTCGTTTCTACACTTATTTTATTTCTGAATTTCTCGACTGGCGTCAATAATTTGCTGTTGAATCGGAATAGATATTTTCATTTGCTGTATTAAACTATATGTATATATTTCACATATAACTTGCGTTGATTCCTATTGCCTGTTCATGCGTTCTCTTTTAATTTATTATCGGAGTCTGTAGATTTTACCCAAGTTTATAGTTTTATTACATTATTACATTTTCGAAAAAGTTCAACAAACTTCCGGTCCTATCACTGCTTAGTCTTAAATACTCGAGTGCATAAGACTAAGCAGTTAGGACCGGAAGTTTGTTGAACTTTTCCGAAAATGTAATAACGCGGATAACGAGATACACACACACACACACACACATATCACTCGTCAAACATAACTTTGTAAGTCAATTTGGTCTCGAAAGCTTTTCTACAACCGTAGGAGATTTGAAGTCCCAATAAGAAATTTTAGACACTTGCAGCGCATGTACAGTCTTATTCATTAATGCCCGGACCTGCATTTTTACCATCATTTTTCTCATCTGTACAAATTACTGAGTTTCAGGCTGCATGTATTTGCATATGCTACCACAAACTTCTATAGAAGCTGTGTGAACTACGAACTCCGCAGCTTTTCTTTAAGGGGATGCTGGAGTGATTCTGCACTTTTGCACCTTTCTAACCTAAAAACTGTCAGTTCGCGGAAATATTTGAGTAATATACAAATG